CATATGTCTTGTGAACCTAAACAGACTCAGCATTATGCTCGACTTAGATTGTTAGGTTTCAATTGAAGAGAGTGATTTTCCGATAATTTCTGTAACGTACTAGTAACTTTAGTTCCTTTAGGACTACACGTTTATCATCGTCATTTAAATAAAGTTTATGAATAAATATAATTCACGTTTACACCATCCATGTCTTTCATTATTTTCACAAATAAAATTCGCATTGGTTTGTGCAAATTAGACTACAACTAATCAGCACAAATATTATGCTTGAATTCGTTGGGTAGTAATTTGAAGCCTAACTTACCTAAATTACTAGGCAACTCAACTTATTTGTACATCATAACGTCTGGTGATTGATACATGCACATATAGGCGTCGCACAAGAGTCGTTTTGCATGCTCAGGTAAATGACGATCATCTGTTAATTCAGTCAGGTAGTTTCCACCTTCTTCGCTCAGCCAATATGGGAAATCTGGGCATGGAACCATCTCAGGTATGTTGTAGCCATTTTGTTCTCCTAGAGATGATTATACAATTAATCACGTATTAAAAGTAATACTCACTGAAATAAATTAACAAAATCATGTTATACCTTTTCTATCAGCCATGGAATCAAAGAAACACCACGGCGCCTCCGATCCAGAACCACATTTTACAAAGCAAACATAATGCGACGTTTCGATACAAACGACTGCAGATAATTCTAGGTACAATCTTGGAACAGGGCAATGTTCTTGCAAAATATCAAATTCCATTGGTACCACGAGCTTCTTCGGTTCATGATTCGTCCTTCGTTCATGCTGATGCACCTACAACAAAATATTCCAAATATATTTTGAACTCCTACAAAGTCATAGGAAGAAATTTGTTACTGCCTACCTTTTCCAAACATTGTAAACAAAAAGCAATACTCTCGAGTCCAACGCCGCATTGTCCGTAACATTCCTTGCATTCAAATTCTGCTAATTTGCCACAAACTGTGCATTGTCTGGGAGCTAGAAATAGATTATTAGTATATAAAATAGATTATGAGTATTAATGCATTAAGAATAATTAATTGTAACGATATAGAAGTATTTGAATGATATTTACAATCTTCAATTATATCTGTAACGTCCAGCAATAGTGTCGGTTGGATTTTTTGGTACATTTTAAACGATTTTCCAAATCTAGGCATTTGAATGATAAGACAGGATGGTACTTCTTTCAATCGGATGTTACTTGTTAAAAAACTTTGTTCTAGTAATTGTTGTACCGTCGGAAGGTTCAAATGGTCATCTTTTTCGACGAAGAGTTGATAATGATACGCGTCCTGACCAGAACTCAATTTGAGAAATGGCTCAGCGTTCAAAATTTGGGCAACCAGAGAAGTTAAAAATTCTTCAGGATCTGAAGAAATCCAGGATAATTAAACTTAACATTTGGACGTCCCTCTTAATTAAATATACTTAGCGCGAAAACAAACCTTTTTCCTCGCTGGTTAAACCGGACACCGATGAAAGCTTTTCAAGCAATGTCCGAAGTTTCATTACGTGATCTGCTCTAACAAACATATTTTTTCTGAGCGGATTTACTATTTCTTCACGCAATACTCTTTGCACCTCTTCATATTGTGGACAGTCTTTCTCATTGGGTGGTCTACAAAATCAAATGCGTAAAGCAATTGTACATGAGAGAAAATAAGACAAAATATATTGATTACCTAAATAAAAGATTATCAAAAACGCTAGTAAACGTAAACATGCTGAAAAGAGTGGCATCCAAATAACATGAATTGTGATGACCTTGAATTCCTCTGTACTTTCCACAAATACTTTCCAGATTTCCTTTAACAGAAATGGGTCGCACCATTCCAATTATCACAGAACTCTCAATATTTCCAAAATTGTCCATGTTTATCGGTGACATTGGGTCTTCACTTTTTGCCTACGGTAGTGAAATTAACTAATTAGTACCTAGCTATCAAACGAAAATATTTTCAATCGGATACTTACAACCATTCCATCGTAGCGGGAACATTGGTCAAGATCTTTGAAAATTGCCCTGTAAGGCCGACAATGAAAATACCTAACGTCTTTATATGTTCCATCAGTCCCAGAAGGATGACTATTATCCTAAATACAAAATAATTGATTGTATATTAAAATTTAAATTCAATTTTTCATTACAAACCTTCTAATAATTGTACCTACCAGTTCTACAGCTGCCATTAATTTACTAGGAGTAATACCAGGCGGTGTTCCTATCCAACGAATGACACCATAGTGCACATCGGAATCCAAAATCACTTTTACGTTGGAACCAACAATTAAATCTGAATTTTCCATTCGTCCGAACTTTTTATTTTCATTTTTTTCTGGTGTACTGCCTATAATAAAATTGAAAATTAAACTCATATCCATTTACAAAAAATAATAGTTCAGTGAAAACCACCGCAACAGAAAACGCGTAAAAAGCTGTACGAAATGATGCGATCAACTACATAAACATGAAATGCGGAAGCATGGCGAATTTATGAGAGTGTCTACGTTTCCTTACTATGTTCTAAGAGACTATAGCGTTCGAATGTTCCTTCAATATCACTGTACACGTTTGATTCTATGTCACTACTCCATTTGTGCTCTAATACAAAGATAGGAATGTTTTGCAACGTTGCAGCCATTTTACAATAAAATTATAATAGATTTTCAGTTCTGAGAGACTTGCCGGCTCCACTGAGACAAGCTAAGATTTGGGCTATTTATAACCGCCTCAGTTATTCTTAACTCTCTCTACTAACATGCAATGAGTGAAGACAAGCAGGCTATGTTGGATTCCTAGCAAAGCTAGTAAAGTATACTGTTAACAAAGAGAAGCCAAGCTGAGAATTTATTTTCACGTTATTCTTATTACCAGATTGCGTGTACGAATGGACATTTGTGTTTTTAGTTACGTTACTATCATTTTCAAGTGGTATTGATTTCGTTGATTGAAGGTATTCCTTTGACATAGATCGTTGATCTCTGTTATTGTTTTTGTTATCGTCATAGGTAGTAAATCTCTCCAAAAGAACAGATGGTGTAGTGTCCAATACAGACTTTTTTTTGTCATTTGTGTGATTGTTTCCTATGTCTGTCTTTAAAAAAGGATCTGCAGATGACAGAAAGCATATCATTAAAATTAAAATCTCCAAAATGAAAACAATAAAATATTTCTCTTTATACTTTTATCTGCATTTCCAAGACCGGTAGGACCTTCGGGCTTCAATGGAAAAATGTGGCTCAATGTAGCAAACCTCCCTTCCGAATGAGTGGACACAAAATACTCTTTACTTAGCAAAGCTGTCTTGGATGATTCTTTTCCTTCCTACAAATGACATACAATCTACAATAGTTATACTAACTTATATACTGTACCAAACAACAAATAAAGTATTTATTACTATAAGAAATTTAAGGATATATATACTATAAAGTATTGCATAAAATTACCAATAAGTCAAGACCAAAATAATGTCCTGGACCAAGTTGAGGTACAAGTCCTATGTATTTAATTAGAGCCAGAAACTTGGTATATCCTTGGGGATCAGGACAGTACCAAACGGTATCATCTATCATTAGACTCATCAATTCTTTGCATAATTGCTTGTGATTAGCCAAACGAATCCTCTCCTCAGGCACAGTTACCGCTGGAAGAAACTTCCATACCTCTGGTGATACAGGGATCAAATCGAATCTGTGACATCGCCATTCTGTACCACGCCAAACTTCTGATCCCGATGTGTCAGTAACACGTACTCTAAGACCATCTCCCCCTAAATCCTCAACCGCTTCTGCTAGCATACCAAGACGTAACGTATTGACATTTGTGTCACATTCTCCGGATATACGCATCAGAATAGTGTTTTGTTTGGCAACATAATGCTGGAGGACCTGGCGGTCATCCTTGCTGGAAGCATTCCGCTTTTCCATGATTAATTACGCACGATCATCTCGATGAAGCGACTCTGTCAATTGCGATGTGCGCTGACCGCATGGATAAGATACAACATTTACCTCTAGCATCGTGCAGCTTCTTTTTTAAGACGTAGAGATCACAAAAAAGGATCTCGTGGTACTCATCTTGTTCACGAAATTGGTGTAATGTACTGCCAGTTGAATTATACGGGGAAATATTGGTCATGGACACACTCGGACATTGGGGTAATCAAATTAGTATCATTTAAATGTTAGCGAACCATTCTTCCCGAAACTCGCCTTAATAAAAGAGTACACATTCTTGTTTTTCCTATTTCAAATGCAAAATTTATTGAGATGACATAGGCAAAAAGAAATTGAAATAACCTTGCGCCCTTATTGCACTTGTGCCCTCTGCCCCTTTGCTTTGGCTGTCAAGTTTTATAGTAACTTAGTTCACAAGACAACAAAGAGGATAGAGATTAGACGTTGGTAGCACTAAATGTTAAGGCCCATCTTCACGCATGCGGGAAAATTATTTAAATTCAAATATAGATTTAGACTTACAAACAATGTTATTTCTATTAAAATATATGTTTATATAGATCCTAATGTTACTTAGTTGATGTAAGTTCACACGTTACAATGAAATTATGATCATTAATATTTTCAACCAATGAAAACAGTGCCAGTAGGTGCGAACAATCTATTCTATGGGAAAATCAAAACTCCCTAGGAATTTTTTCAGTTTCATCCACGGACTATATGTTCATCCCGCGATTTCTGGAACTGTAAGCATCGTGTTTTAAGTTTTAAATATGAACGACTTTGTACACATCGATATGTTGAACACGGATTCTTCGCGTCTGTCAGGCGATCCTGGCTTCAGTGAATTGTTACGATCAGCAGAACAATTATCTGCCGCTGTCGAAGGTACTGAGGAACTTCCCCAGGTCGAGAGAAATCTTCGACAAATATTAGAAGCCTCGAACGAACTCTGGTCCCGTGTCACGCAGACCGGCACTCAGGATAATCAAGTTCAGGCGTAAGAATACTTTAAACATTATTATTTATAAAATGCCGAAACACTCCTTGTACATTCCTATCAGAATTTATGCTTGCAATGTGAAATTTATTCGATAATGAATTATCATTTTTTAGCATAACATAACCTAAGGTCACCGGAAATTTCTGGCGCGAAAATATCATAATCATGATTATTTCTGCTACAGGTATAATAGTTTATTTTGTAGAGATTATGACATATGATTACTTTTTAATTTCAGACATCTTCTGCTGGGATCACGAGGTGTTGATTTACCTCAAATATCACAAAAATTAAGTTCACTTAGCGCAAGGCGTACTTTTGAACCTTTAGATCCTATTGCAGATACTGACGTAGTCAGTTATCTTCGAAATGAAAAGGAAAATGCTATTTTGTCGATCATTGAGCAAGTTCACAAAGATGTAAGAATTTGTATTGTATTTAAAATTGTTTGTTAAGATTTTAGACTAATTAGTTCATATTTCAGACATTTGAGCTCACCAGAGTTCAACAAATGGAGCATATGCTGGGTGAATGGAAGCAAATGCGCTTTGAGATAATTAATGCTATGACAGCACCATCAGGGGAGCTGGTGGATCTGCGAGGTACCCCTCAGCGCACAAAGCTAGCTGGATCCATTGTTAGTGGCTTGTCGAGTGTAGAAGTAGCTTATGTCAAGGAACTTCAAAATTACAATGATCATGTGCTCAGAGGAATAACTAGACCAAGTCTGTTCAATGCATTTTGCAAAGCTGCAGAGTCATTTGATGATAAAAAGATTGTAGACCTCTGGCAAATGGTAAAGTATATGGTGGACATCCCACCTATTCCAAGGGAAGATCAAATTAAGTCCAGAAGTACTGCTATTGTCGAAAAAAAGATTGTATTACAAGCCAGAAAATATTTAGAGAATAGATACCGGGATTTTATAACTTCGGTTATTAGCGAAAACTTGGCACAGGCGAAGAGAGGTGGCATTCCAGGCACTGTGCCATTAGTGAAAAGTTTTGTAAGCGTCAAAGTACAAAATCTAAGAGAGCTAGAAGATGTTATGGTAGAAGGCAAACCACTGTGGCCTCTAGTTTATTACTGCATGAGGGTTGGCGACTACAAAGCTGCACTGCAGTGTCTTAACCAGTGCAATACAGAGTTCCCAGAGTTCAAAGTCGCTTTGGAAGAAGCGTGCAATGATCCAGAGAGACATCCCAGCAGTTATGCTGAATCAAATCTGAAATTGCACTATAGAAAACATGTTAGATCAGTTACTGACCCATATAAAAGAGTAGCGTACTGCGCACTGGTCCCGTGTGAGCCTGATGATTTGCATTCCGACGTGATTTGCACAGCAGACGATTATTTGTGGCTAAAATTGTGTCAAGTTAGGGATCAGCCAGATGCTGAAAATAAATTAACATTGGATTACTTGCAAACTACAATATCAGAAATATATGGAGAATCTTATTACCGCGCACAGGAGCAACCGTTCGTGTACTTCTCAATGCTGTTTCTGACTGGGCAGTTTGAGGCAGCAATAGAATTTCTAGCGAGAGGTGCAGGAGCAAGACATTTGCCACATGCGGTGCATTTAGCGGCTGCTATGCACGAACACAACTTATTAGGTGTTAGTCAGAGTGTGCTAGCACCTTTATTAAGCGTTGATCCTGCAGATAAACCACCTGCAAGGAGATTAAACTTTGCTAGATTGATATTACTTTATGTTAAGAGATTCAATTCCACGGATCCAAAAGAATGTTTACATTATTTATTCTTATTAAGGTTTGTACTCAACAGTTGGTAAGTTAGAAGTTTGGAAGTTTGATCTAATCATTTGTATTTCTAGAAACATGAAGGATCCACATGACCGTAATATGTTCGCTGCCTCAGCAGCAGAAATGGTGGTCGATTCCTCACCGACCAATAGAACTCAATTAGTTGGAAAGATAGACAAAGATCGTTGGGTGCCAGGAGTTTTAGATCAATTCCAAATCAACACGCAAGACGTGATAAACATAAGTGCGGATACACTGTACAGAAAAGGTCTTTTAGAAGATGCTGTAACGATGTATGATCTCGCTGGTAATCATGAGAAAGTTCTCAGTTTATTGTGCACACTTCTGGCACAAGTGGTTAGCCAAAGGTCTTCTGCGTTGAGATCTCGATTGCAGGTTACTGCTAGTGACATAAGTACAAGGTAATATTCGAAAATTGGAAAGTATTATTAACTTTGTTCAGTGACATATAATAGCCGTTTTACCGTCAGGTATCAAGGGATTGAAGTACAAGCGCCATCAGAATTAGTCTCAGCATTTCATACATTGAAGCATCTAATGGTATTTTTCGATCAGTTTCACAATGAACAGTACCAGAGTGCACTTAGGGTGAGATATAACAAGTTATCTGCATTAACACTAACGTTTGGAACTGCAAAAATATAGAGACATACTTTTGGCTGATTACAGACCATCGCAGAGTCCAAGTTGTTACCTTTACACATAAAAGAGGTCGATGAAAGAGTGAATGTTTTGCGTCGCGTGTCGCCAGAAGTGGCTGGCACGTTAGCGGATGTTCTTTTGGCAACTATGACGATACTCTATCGTCAGTACCAAAAGTTACGAGCTGGTGAGCCAGGAGATGAAGAAGCGAGGAAGCAACAACTTCTCGATCTTCGTGAACAAGCTCGTGCGTTAACGAGTTTCGCTGGAACGCTTCCTTATCGTATGCCAAATGAGACCAACAGTAAACTTGTACAAATGGAAATACTTATGTGCTGATCATAAAAAATTCAATGTGTTTTTCGTTATTTTATTTTGGACAGAGTACTTCAAATAACATAGTGGGTAGATTTGTGCAGATACTGATCCCGCAAAGCACAAAACCAATCAGTGTTTTATTTTATTCATGCTTGGAGCATTGTCGATGCAGTGTATATATTTTTTGTATTTTAACTTAAACGATTAAGAGATTTGTAAACAAGAAATTGTATTGTTTTCTAAGAGTTAATAACTCAACGTTACGGAACGAATATAATAAATATTTGATAGTTTGTTCCTATGATAAATATTATATATTTATCTTGTGGAATCATTGTCTTTGGAATATGTTTTTAAACACGTAATGGATATTCCAGAGCTGAGGTCTTGGACTTTTCCTTCCTTCACCTGAAAACATTCATTATTATTATTGACTTTTATTGTATGTTTTATTTGATAATGCTTACAGCTCTATAATCAAGAAACATTTCTTTGAAAGCCATAAAATCTGTGAATGTTGATAGTACTTCAAAAACTTCACCCTCCAATTCGTTCTGTCTGTTACTGAAACATTTAATAACATTGAAAACAAGAATGCTTCTATTAATATTAGAATGTATCAAATATTAAACATATTTATAACTCTTTCACGAATTATACAATTTGAATGCTTACCTTAAGAGTTGTAGGAACATGTTTATGTTAAAATGAGGTATTACTTTTTGTAAGTAATTAACAATGTAATCTTCCACAGTTTTGTTCTAAAAAAAAAATAAAAATATTAATATATATATATACATAAAAATATAATTTGCCATTTTAAGATACGAACGTATTCGTTAAAGATGTCCATGTAAATTAATTTATTCTCGTCTATTGGCTCAAAAATGTCCCAATACTGATCCAAAAATTTCTTTTGGATAGTATGAAATTCGTCTTCTAACAAAATATCCTCTATATGACCAATAATCTCATCGAAAAGCCTATCTTCCACATTCTTCGCACTCTGTTCTGTATTTTCATCCTCGCTTGTAAAAAGGCAACTGTCTAAAAAATTATTTAGGCATATTATTTTGTTTATATATCCAATTATTGACGTGACAACACATACAAAGTTTGGAAGGTAAATTCAAGAAGCTATTATATCGACATTTATTTATAAGAGTGACATAAACAAACCCATTATTTCTCCGGACATGATTTTATTTGATAATGAAAATAAGGCACTCTTAAATTGCCTTAGAAGATTCCGACTACGGACAACTATTTGACAAAGCTAATATCGATATGTCATGTGTATAATTATTGGAAACGAGAATCGAAATAGGAACGACCAATCAGAGTCTTCGATGCTGCAGTTAACATTTTTTGTCGCCGTTTAACTCAGTTTAACTGTAGCGCACATACGAATTAATTAAAAATGTTCTGTTAGTTTTTTAAAGGTACATTGCCAAACAAATTATTCAATTTTTCGATTCTGCATTGTGATTTTATACTTTGAACTTGAAGTTATTACAAAATACTGTGGAATAGCTTTGAAACATTGATAAAGAAGCAGAAACAAACGTGTCTTATTCTGTAGTAAACGTCATAGAGATTTCAAATTTCTATAGATCAAATTCGCGACCGAAAGGTAAGCACTTAGAATTATTAAATTACTACGCAAGCGCATTCAGAATTTCAGAAATTAATTTTTCAATATTGTAGGTCGCGCGTATCAATGGAGATATATACGTTTGACAAGAGTCTTCAAGAGAGACTGGTTGAGCTGACTGAAATATTGTCTAGCAGAGATGAGATTGTGCCCGCTTCCCAAATCAAAGCTGAATGGTTTTATCATGTGGAACTTGTAATAGAGCCTACTGGTTGGCGAGCATTGTGGAAGATACCTCGATTAGTATGTGAAGACTTTCAGGTCCATTACCCAACTATAGTGGTGGTAGAAGTGGAGCAAGTTGATTTTACTGATCTATCAGCATTGGTTAAGATCATTGCTGTTCAAGATGAAATTCATCTGCCAGAAAAATATGATGTGCCACTCGTAGAACTATATCCAACTCACAAGCAAGAAAACAATGCATTAGATATGGAGGGCACTGCCAGCTGCATTGACCAACTGCGATTCTTTTATAATTACCTGTGGATGCCATGGGACATAGATGATGATGATAACACTGATTGGGTGTCTGTACATCTTGAAACTAGGATCAGGTTATTCTTTGACATGAAGAGGAGCATTGTCAGTAAAGAAACTAGCGATGTCATTAGAAGTTTGATAAGAGAGGGCAGGGAAGTTCAGCAAAGGATAGCAAGATTGGAGGACACTATTTCTGAAGAAGAAGAGTCTCATGAAGAGGTAGATGGAGGAACAGCATGTCAATTAATGAAACTTCACTTCAGGCTGCAACAAATCAAGAGGGAGATGGAAGTTCTTGAGAATCCTGCCATGAGAGAGATCCTTGTAAAGAACAGAACAGATTCCTTGAACAGTGAGAAACTCCAGAGAAGAGACAGCAAAGAAAGAAGCACAGAAGGGTACTTTGTATGGCTGGGTGGCACTCTTGAAGAAATGAAGGAAGCTATAAGCAAAACTCAAGCATATTTGACTCCAGAGTTACACTTTAAGTATGTTTTGAAAATTCTGTAGACATCTGATTTATTTACGTTTAATTAAGCTACCTTTTTATTTAGAATATCCGGGTCTTTACAAGAGACTCTACAGGCTTGCGATTCAGGGGACATAATCGTAATTGGAGAGGGAACTCATGACATAAAGAGCGCCGGGAATTTAGAAGAGGGGGGTACGATTAGGGGTATTAGTAGTGTAGAACGTACTGTTATTTCTGTTAAAGATACTGAAACCGCACCATCTTTACTGGATTTTTCTGGCAACGAAGTACGCCATTTTATCCAACTGTTCCTGCCCTAATATCCAGTCTTTTTCATTTATAAAATATATTTTTTAGGTATTGTTAGAAGGTATTACTATAGACGCAGGGGATCTTAGAGCTGTTGTGATTGTTAGAGCTGGAACCACGAAAATAGTTAATTGTCGAATATGCGCATTGAGTCAAAGTATAGTTAAATTAGGCGTTGTTGTTCTACCAAATGCAAAATTGATCATAGAGAATTCTGTATTGGACGGCCTTGGTACAGCCGTGGTCATCTACAGTAAAGGAGAGGTGTATATGAACAATTGCAGTTTTAAAAACTGCGTCGAAGGTGTACAGGTGTGGAATTGTCTTAATTCTTTTTCTTCTACGTATTTGGAAATGTTTATTATATTTTTTTATGTTGTTTATTTAGCTGTATGACGATGTAAAACTGGTGATAAGCAATTGCTTCCTAGAACAGTTCAAAGAATACGCATTGCGGCTGGAGACTCAAAAATATTTGTACGGGACAGAAAGCAAATTTGGTAGTTCTGAACTGTTAGCCGGTGTGTCCGAAATTTCGTTGAAGGATTGCAAATTCGGTGGGAATGGCAAAGGAGACGTTATTTTGAAACCTGGAACGGCATTCGCTTCTGCGAAACAAGATAGAACCTTGAAGTAATTCGACGAGTTTCAAATCTCGCAATTTTCTATTTACAATTCGAAATTGCATGTATCGGTGCTCCTACAAAATATACAAATTTTGTATTTTTTTTTGTCATACCCAATTTTAATATTTTTCGTATGACATTGAGATTGATTGAAGTATGAATTAGCGAAGTAGTAGCGAAGAAGAAGTAGCGTCGAGTACAGTGGCGTAAAAGTTCAAAAAGCGCGTGGAAATATAAACTGGAACTTCTTTCGCTAGTTCCAAACGCTGCGGTTCGATGGCAGCATCATTCAGTTTCGCGAGTTGTTGTCACGCGTTTAGTGATAACAAAGTGTAGTGTTCGATCCCGTGTGTAATTTATTAAATGTGGTTAGCACGTCTACGTAAATTACAGATAGGAACATCTAAGGCTAGTTTCATAAATCGACATTCAGGTATATTTAGTTGCCATTTTCAACAATGTCCCGCTAAAATTTAAGGTTTGTTTCCTATCCTCACTATGTATCTGTAACCCTTTTCTTCAGTTTTTCTGTCAGACACGATGCAATTTACGATCTGAATCTATCGAATGCATGTGCACGCAAGACGTATTCATTGCAACGATTCTCGTATTCGTACATTCTGCTGGTATACATTTCCAAACCAAGCCGGATCACCTAACCTACAAACATGTACAGTCGAGGGAAATAATGCCGACATACGGTCACGTATATATCTGTGTTGACGTTCACGTACGGGGTGTCTCAATAGTATAATGTAACCGGAGAAGCAGTGGAAAATTAAATTAAAAATGTAGGGTAAAATTTGTTCGTATGTGGCTTCTCGAGAAAAATCGAACTTAACCTTAAAGTGAATTTGTAAAGCGAACCTAAAATGTGCAATCACTTGGTAAATATATTGAATATTCATTTCGATTGAGTAGATAGTTGTAAATTATAGTCCCAAGAATGTATATAAATCTACAAATAGTTGCGTCAATGTATAATAAATATTTTTCAGCAATGCTTACACAGTATCGAGTCTAGATAGACAAGTAGATGCAGTAAGCCATGACCAGACGATCAAATAGTGCACGTGCTTCGTCACATTTTAAAGTAATTTTCCTCAAAAACAGAGCCTCGTATGGAAAAATTTAATTCTTCATGTTTTACTTATATTTTCTGTGAGAGAATTGTTGAATCTTTACACATTTGCGCGATGAATTCTCGGACACCCTGTGCGTGGAAACAGATAACGCGTCGCACGTGCACGGTACATTGCCGTGACGCAAACGATAATTTGATCCATACCGTTCCCGCTGCCGTATTTGTTTAAGACTGTGGGTTTGCTCGTGTCTATAAATGAAGGCACAAGTACCTGGCCATGTGGCCGTGTCACGTGCATCCGGATCAATGAAGTATCGCGATTTAAATGCTCGCGCTCATCTGATGATGAATGAAAGCCCGTCGTGCAAGATACTGCTTATCAATTGCCTGGTCCCAATTAGATTTTCAACCTCTTACGCGCATTTATAGGTACGGAAATAGAAGCAATAGGAGCTTGGTATTCCACTAATGATGTTCTACTGCTCTTCTTTTCTCATGGGATGACGGATAGTTTAGAATTTTACTAATGTCGCGTCTACACACATAGAAAAGGAAATAAGAGTATTAGAATATAAAATCTATCTATTGTTTCTCAACGAAACGTTTGTTAAAACTAATAAAACATTTTGTCAGCTTTTCAAAATTAATCGTTTATAGGTGGCTTTCCATGGTGTCTTTTAGAAGACTTGAATTCATTAGAGGATTGCGTTTTGAAAATTATTATGTAACCAGGAACTATTTGAAGCGTTTGTAGCTGAAGCTCGATAGGGAGACCAGTGACTGAGAATGTTAAATTTCTAATTGTAGCGAATCCGAAGACCGTGATATATAGTATGGCCATGGTGGAAATGTCTGCACTGAAGCAATTGTCGGATAGACAAACACAGTTTGGTAACAGCCGTCGATTGGAACCGTCCGACTGCATCTTCGTCTTCAAGGACACGGAATCCGATTACGAGGAGCCAACGTCGGAGATTGATGAGGTGAGTGAGGTCCTTGATCTTGTTTTTCAATGTTCTATATGTTTAACGATACAACAATGATCAATGAACATTCGTCGGATAGTAATGTCCGTTACACGAAGCATGGAATAATTGAAATAATTGTTAGGCAAATGCACAAAGCATCTAGATTTCTAGCATCGACGTAATCTATCCGCTTGCTAGAGCACCAACGAGAAGCAATGTTTAACTTAATTACACACATCCCCCGGTAATCACGTGAGGCAACGCTTCTCGACCTGTTACTTTCACCGTCCATCGTAACCGTGCTCCCGGTTTAAAAGATCTTCGCGGAAAAAGAATGCAAGGGTTCGCGATAATATTTATTCGCACTTTATGCATAATGCTGTTCAATGGTAGAGCTGCGATCGTAGTCTAGTTCTCCAATTAAAAATCCAAAGGAAACGATATCGGAGAAGAGAAAGGGAATGGGATGGCACACGCGATCCTCGCAGATCCTTTCGCTGCGTGGTCGGTTATCGGGAACCCGCATTCTTTATCGGTCATCGTAGACTGTGCGATTTATATGCCCGCTTCTTCGCGCTCAAGTATTGTAGACCTTCACTCGAGGAATCCGTACAAGCACCGGTAGAATATCGCGTAAATTCCTAATACCCAAGCCGAAGTTTCAACAACAAATTCCAACCAGAATCACTGGCATCGGTCTCAAAACTTTCACAATCTTGTTCTCCACAGGCCGACATTAATTATCACCTCAAACTTCAAGAATTAATATCGATCTACCGTCGCTGAGTTCCGACTTCAAATCTTCATTCTCACGATTCCGTGTTGATCGAACTTCAGCTCCCCCCTTTCCCCCTACTCTTCCTCTCTCTCTCTCTATCAACGAGTTTTAGATTCACGTTCTAATTTCAATCTCGGCTACCTTCAACCTCGAGTTCCAACATCGATCCCTATTCCCGAGGTGTCACTGTAAGCTTTAATCTTAATCTCCAGCCTGAAACTTCGATTTCAAGTTCTAACTACGTTCTCTTATTTCGACCTCAAGTCCTAACTTCAGTCTCCATTCTCCCAGTTTAACGTCGGCGCTTCATCCTCAATTTCCTGTTGCCATTCCCGTCCAAACTGGCATAACCGATCCTCAACCTGCAATCAATTTGCCGCACAGATTTCCCGCTCTAATCTCGTTTCCGAGCGTCGACGCGCGAGCTTCGCTGCGGCTGCGAAATGCTCGATCTGTCACCATTTATAAAAACACACTGTACTTCCGTTTCTGTTATATTAAACTTTCCGGGAACTCGCGAACTCGCGCCCGGATAAACTTGTCTTCGCAACAAAACGAGGCCTGTTCCGGGTAACAAACTTCTCCCGCGATAAATCAAATTCCCTTGAAACTCGACCGTTCACAAATTTTCTAAAATCCGCGGAGTTGCTCGGTAATGTGTTCTCAAGCCTGGATACCTTTGTCCAACAAAATCGAGCATTTCGAGGGGTGTGGCGGCGCATGATTTAGCATGTTGTCGGCGGGCACGGCGCGTGTACCAGCCGTTCCGACACAACCGGCATTTGTTCGCCGATTGTTCCGGGCGATGTAAACACACGAACGGTATTTCACCGTGCCGCGGTCCCGCCCCCGCTTGACACGCTCAAAAATCTGCTCGCGGAGAAAGGATTAAGTGCAAAAACCGTAACGGTGACGTTAATGAGCCCAACTGATTTAAAGTATCCCGTGGAACAGCTCCGTCGTCGTTCTTTCCGGCCTATTCGCGGCCGAGTTAAAGACCCGTTTCTCTCTCCCCCTTCCTTCTCTCTCAGAACGCTTCGCGAGAGAAACACGGCGAAAACAGAGGAGAAAAAATGAAATAGAGAGGGACGAGCCTCATAACACATCCGCCGATGCTTTTGACCGCGAGTTATTTGCGGCCGCGTGTCTTCCGGAATGACTGATCGGCCTCTCGTCGTTCTTTCATTCTCTCCGCCTTCCCTCGTTCTCGTTCCACGCCGTTTTTTCTCTTTGTTTCTCTCCTCTTTCATTTTCCGCTGGCTTCCTCGCTCGTCGCCCTCCATCGGCTAAATTAAGTCTAATTTTAACGGTAGGATTTTCATTTGGTCGTTTTTCGATTCGAACTTTCCAGTGCAAGATAATGATGCCTTGTACTTTTAATCCTCCGTGACTCGGAGGAAAAAAACTTTCTCAAGTTTCAACACTCATACTGCGGGACTTGGATGTACAGGGAGCAGGAATATTGTTAGTTCACTGTCTGTAAGCATGTAAGCAATGTAAGCATTCTGGGTTATATTTTTGTCCTAAAAAGATCTGATTTTCGAGCGTTAATACAAGGCATCTCGTATCGGTAGATGCCAAAATGTTGAAAAGACATGTGAAATAAATTATGTAAATTATAATTAAATTGTATAACTAAAATATAAATTATCTTAAGAATAAATTTGGTCAGTAAACAATGCCACATGTTATAAAAAAATAACACTTTTCTTTTCTTATAATGAAGAAAACGTTACTTACGCCACTATCATTCTAACCCACTCAATTGTGTCATGCGAGTTCGATCGACACGATCGATGGAGAACTATGATTCCCGGAAAGTATTTTTCCAAATCAAGCAGTACAGTAAATTCTCCCTAATTGACGCTCAGATCGTGCCCAAAAATGGACAATTTGGGAAGAGGAGATAAATGTGAATAATTATAAAAACGAGCCGCAACGCTCGAATAATTGTACCTTCTCTTTTCAAATTGTCCATTTTTGTGTACAAACTGAGCGTCGATTAGGGAGAATTTACGTATTCATAAATCCAACAAATTGCTTATCGATGCAGTTCGCGAGTTCACGGCTTCGAAACACTCGGTCCGAAAAGTTGATCGAAAGCGGAAAACGAGCGAATCGGAACTTGTAATTTTTCCAGGAAATCGGAAACAATCTCCTCGATTGCTCGACGCTTTTAATTGTCTCCCATGGCAGATTCCCGCCGCCTTCGATCACTCCTGTCCTCCTTTATTTCATTCTCGGCCCGCCGAGACACGGCACCGTGAATTATGACTCCTTCCGCGTTTCTTTCCCGTCGTTGTTTACGTTCTTCCTCGTTCTCTTCTTCTTCTTCTCCGGGTCCATTCACCGTTCCGTTCCACCATCCTTCTTCCTCCTTGGAAGTTAATCTCTCCTCCGCTGTTCTTTTCTTATTTGTCGACCACCTCCGCCAGTTTCCTCGACTTTTAATTCATTGTCCGTCCCGTCCCCGAGGTTCTTTCGTTCGAGCTGCGCCTTTCATTGCTCGATCCACTTTCGATAAGTGTACGATCCGAGGAAGAAAATCGACATAGGGTAGGAGTACCGGTTATGGCCACGTTAAGGATTTATAGAAATTTCAACGCAAATATTCTTGAAGTCTCGTATAGCATAAGAATCTATAAATTTTAATGGATCATTCCTTTAGGAAATGCCTAACATGCCTTTAGGTTTAATATCTAACTTGCAATAGGGTTGCGAAACGATTCAAGAATTATTACGGTACAAAAATAGTGAAATACACGTTTGTCACGGATTTTTCTTCATTTGCTCTCTGCTTTCTCCGGCTTCATCCGTTTTGCTATTAATTCTATTTGCATTAAATTTTCTTTCTCCACTAATTTCTTTCTTTTTTCTTTTCCAGAGGTTATGCTTAGATCATACGTATTGTAATACTACATGTTACTATTACGTGTCCACTAGAGACAATATATTTACTAGTTTGGGGTTACGTTGATTGCTAAGAACTGTAAGCAACTTCAAATAAGAAAATATGAATAATAATAGAGAGAAGACTAGAAACGCGGCGCACAGGCCAGAAACGGTACATCTATTCTACGCGCACTTTGTGTCTCCCTTTTTATTCGCTTTCCCTCCGACGATCGTTTGTATCGCGTGGTTGAATAATTCTCGGGCGTTTGTCGCTACGAAATTCGTCGAATTAAGGGGTGGAAGCGCAGCCCGTTCGAAGTTTTTCTGTTGAAGCGGCCCGGCCACGCTTTATTGTTTGCTTTGTCAGAAAAAACCGCATGCACCCTCTCCACTCGAGGAGACAATAAACTCTCGCCCCGGATCTTTCTTCTCTTTATTTCCGAAATCCCACCGGCGTCGCGAGTTTCGTCGGCTCTCGAGCCATTTCCCTAGCTTGGCCCTTTGCTCTTCTTCTTTTCTCCGGGAATACTTGGCCGTTGGTTAAACCGCAGCATCTTCCTAGAAGTTATACTCCCGACCGCGGACGCACACATTGTGCTCCTTTTCCGGCGTGTTTTATCCCGCCGCCGCCGGTTTTATCGTCGCGGATTCATTTATCATGTTTAGCTGACCGCCGGATCCCCCCGTAAATAGAAGCTATCCACCTATGAAAGTCC